CGGTTTGATTCTGTGCCTTTATATCGCTTATGCAACAATTCACATCGCTTATTATTATTTCATGTTGCTGCACTTTATCATGATGTTGTTGCATTACGATGTAGTGCGTTGCACTAATGATACAAGACGCAGGTACAGGATACCCTCCACAGGAAAGAATCCGGATTCCAAGATTAAAGTTCTTGATCTCTTGGACAATATTGCCAAAAGATGCATGTATGCTCAAGCTACAAGAAAGGTTAAAAAATTTGTTTATTTTATTTATGATTTATTCTTTTCATTTTTATTTAAAGATGCCTGCCTTTGGTTCATGGAATTAATTTGATTTTAATGTGTTTGAAAACTGGAAAGAGTCGGGTTATGAAAACTCATGTGCACATATTGAACAAGTTTCAAACCCATGAGCTCATAATCTATAAATATTGTAAGAAAAGGAAAAGGCCATTATGCTATGTCAGTCTCATCTTTCCGTCGATGACTTGGTGTGGATGAATTGCTGTAAGGGAAAATATCATAGACAAATCTAATTTTTTTCTGTTCTACTTATTTATTATTATTGTTATTATTTTTCATATTCAAATTTTTGTTGCGACTGTTCTAGTTTTTTATTTTTTGGCCAGTGAGTGTAGATGATCATTGATTAGTGCCTTAGTTTTAGAAGTACTTTTGCATTCATGTTCATCTTTTCGTACCTTCTTCACTTCTCCATGCAAGAACCTCTTGTGCAGATAATTCATCTTACATTCCTCCATGGAATTATACAACAGCCAACAAAGTCCTTAATTGCATTTTATCTTCCTCTTCCAATATTCCATGTAAGACAAGCATGTAAGACATTCATACATATAAATTGACTACTTCTACATATTTCTTAGTGACATCCACATCGTTAGTACCTACAATTGTCCCCTTTTAGGACAAGGAATCAATTGTACACCAAACGGTTAAAGTCCAAGAGCTAATGAAATTATTAATGAACACAAGAATACAAATTTTAGACAAAATAAATTAATTACTAATGACATTATCAATATGTACAACAACAATAATTTGCCTTAATCTATTAGAAGCAGGAAAAACTTTGTTTCCAGTTTGTCTTGCTTCCAATTAAATGATTCCTATTGCCTTCCTCACTGACAAAGCAAGAAATACTTAAAGCAGTAATCAATGCCACAGTTCAGTTGATTTGGAGTCTACAGCAATATGGCTGAATTGGGAACCTTAGTATTCTTTTTTTTCAAGCTCTCTGTGCTTGTTCATTTTATTTACTTTCATCAAGTTCTTGCACAAATTTTTGTGGGTGCCACTTCGCATCCAAGGCATAATGCGGTCAAAGGGAATCAATGGTCCTTCTTACAGATTCATCCATGGGAACACCAAAAGAGATCTTCAGTATGAGGAAGGACACAATGAGTAGACCTATGAATTTATCACATCACATATTTCCTAGAATTTATCCCGAAGTTTACTCTTGGGTCAACACATATGGTAACACTATTTAGTTTTATATCTTTTTGAATCCTAAGTAGTTCATCCATACAAATGAACTAATTTAACTAGTTAGTTTGTTTTATTTTACTTTTGGATCAGGTAAGCCCTATCTCAGTTGGTATGGTACCAAAGCTCAGTTAGTTGTCACTGAGTCAGAATTTATTAAAGATATACTGAACAATAGAGACGGAGCTTATAAGAGAATAGACATTGAAGGCTATTTGAAGAAGCTAGTAGGACATGGTATTCTGGTATCAGAAGGTGAAAAATGGACAAAATTACGGAAACTGGCCAATCATGCTTTCCATGCAGATCGGCTCAAGGTAAGTTGTGTGGTTATTATTGTTTTTGTTGTTGTTAAGTCACTGAAACCAACACTACTGAAGCGTTACTATTGATCAAATTCTCTAATGATCTGAGTATATACCAAGTAATATGAAATTCTAGATCTAAGTGTTAAGGGGTAACTACTAATTATATGAAGATTGTTGTGTGTATAGAATATGATTCCGGAAATGACTGCAAGTACAGAGATGATGCTAGAAAGGTGGAAACAGTATGAAGGAAAAGTGGTTGATATGTATGAAGAGTTCAAGGTATTAACATCAGAAGTGATTTCCAGAACAGCTTTTGGGAGCAGTTATTTAGAAGGGAAGGATATATTCGAAATGTTGATGAAGTTGTCGATCATAAATGCCAGAAATGCTTTCAAGATTCGGCTTCCTGGCATCTGGTAAGTTCATCCTTAGTTAAAATCAAGTCTGGTTTCAGATTAATTTGATTTCTGAATAGGAAAGAAGACATTGCATGAGGAAACTTTACATGGGTCCAAATTCTTTTTTTTTTTTTTTTGGTTTTTGACTAAATTGTCTCAAGACTCTCAACTTCAGTCTTATATAGAACTGATATTGATCACATATTTTCCTTCAACTTTAAGAGCTCTACTGTATAAACTGGAATTAGTAATTTTTCTCCCTTGGCTTTGACCATCATAAGTACCATAGGGGATTGAAATGAGGAACTTCCTCTTGGGATATGAATTTTCAATTAAACCAATTCATGCCATGACATGTAGCAGTATCCCTTAGGAACTTATTACGAGGTTATCCTCATTCCTTACTCTTCACATGTTCAAATATTAAAGGACCTTGGAAGAATTGGGAAATAGAACTATGTCCAAACATTATGCAAGCGAAATATGAACTCATATGGCAAGAAACAGTTTTTTTAGTTGGTACTCACACACACACATGCCTCCACCGAGGATCGAACCCTTGACCTCCCTTTGAGAAGTAGGGGTTTGGTACCGCTAAGCCACTGGCCTGTTGGTGGCAAGAATAGATTTGACAGGATGGTCAAATACAAGATTGGAAAGCCCTCAACTTCTTGGCTCAATTCTTACCATATTTATAGGAGCATAGATAAAGGTCACTCCATTATGCTGTATTTTAGCATTAAGTTGTAAAAAGATACAATAACAAGATGGTTTTGTCTTCAAAATCAACATATTTATGAATGACTAAATGATCTATTTTAGCTCTAGTTTTGAGTATTAAAAGAATTCAAGCTTTGAACGATTCCTCCACAAGAAGCCAGATTGGTCAGCATACTCATTTTAATTTTTATTCATCCACCGTTGCATTAAATTCTTAAGAACTGCTGATGATTTAGAATCAGATGAACTTGAACAAGGAATTCGCGATTCCATTATATGGATTATAAATCAAAGAGAGAAGACAATGACTGGAGAAGTAAATAACTTCGGGACTGATTTACTTGGATTACTTGTGAACGCTAATCATCATGCTGACGAGAAATATAGGATAACAGTAGAAGATGTGGTTGAAGAATGCAAGACCTTTTACCTTGCTGGACACGGAACTACTGCGACCTTACTTGCATGGACTGTTCTTCTTCTAGCAATCCATACAGATTGGCAAGAGAAAGCAAGACAGGAGGTGCTCGAGTTATTTGGCCAAGATCACCCAAATTCAGAAGGCATTGGAAGGCTAAAAACGGTAACCAAATTGTTGAAAATTAAATTGAATATTCTTGTTTGCATTACAAAATTAACATTATTTGATTCGGCCTTTAATTCTAATATGTCCTTTTTTTCTCTATGCAGATGAACATGATCATCAATGAATCTCTAAGACTATATCCTCTGGGGGCTCAATTGAGTAGAAAAACTAAACATGAAAGTCAAGTTGGGGAAGTTCATTATTCCAGCCAATGTAGAGCTTTATATGGTAACACTGGCACTTCATCATGACCCTCAAGTATGGGGAGAAGATGCACTGCTTTTCAAACCACAGAGATTTTCTGAAGGGGTTCCTAAAGCTACCAACGACAACCAAGCAGTGTTTCTTCCCTTTGGTCTGGGACCTCGAATTTGTGTAGGAATGAATTTTGCAGCGCCACAGCTTCACCCTCTCCCCAACCTATATTCATTCACCAGTTGCACTTACGACAGTTCCGTCCACAGCATGGGGTTCAGGTAATACTCCATGCTCTGTAGTATGCACCAGAGTTGTTAGTAGAATGTGAAGTGAATGAAATAACCAACAGAGAATGATATCCTGTACTTTGATGTACAATGGGATTTCAGTTAAGAAATTCTGAGTGGTGTAGAGTGTGATATCTTGTATTTTTATGTACAATGAGATTGCAATTAAGAAATTCTGAGTTATGGTTTTACTCTCACATCACATGGTTCCCAATAATTTCTTGGACTAATAATTTTATTGGATTCGGTAAGAAATAGTCAAGGGAGGGTGTACTAAGTCAACATATGCAACTATCATACAACTATGCAAGTTGGCTTTTTTGCTTGCCATTGTTGTAAAAGTTGATGTGGATCCATATATTAAATATTTGGTTTGCAATTATAGGATTTGTGATTTTCACTGTCGACCCTACAGATCGAAGAGAGATGACTTTCATACCCATAACAAAGAAATGAACTATTATCCTTAATTTCTATGAAAGAAGATAAATTATTGTATGGTCAGGGAAGAAGGTAAAAAGTTGATATAAAATTAATGCATTTATTTATGTGTCAATGGGTGATTGATTTGAAATCAATGATTATAGACTGTGTAATAATTTATGAAGAAAGAGAAAATATAAAAGGTCTTGGGTCAACTTTGTGGTTTGCACCACACAATGTCATATTAGAAAATAAATTTAACACTACTGCAATATAAGTGTAGTATTATTAGCAAACATATTAAAAAATATTTTATATAATTGATCACTAAATACCTAATAAGTTTTTTACTCACAACAGATTTTTTTATTATTATTATTTTTTTGACAAAAAAGGCTTTTTCTATTTTAACGGCAATGCCAAACAGGCAGTAAGGGGACCAGGCCCAAAGCTAATTAATGCACACTGGGCTATTAAGAAGGCCCAAGAAGCAGGACCACTGGAGCCCAACTCATCTGTAACAGAGGACCGTTGTAATCAACGGCTCTTTGATTACTCGGTACCATTACACAATTTTCGAATAGGTGACCACCAAGTGGTGTTCAGCTTTGCTCCAATGGAGGAGCAACTGAGAGGGGGAGGTCAGGAGGCCAAGGAGGGGACTGATAAATGAGGCTGGTAGGTCCCAAATGTGCCTAATTCTCCTAGCCGAAGCTGAATCTTTTATTGATGTAGAGAGTAAACACTTGTTCTATTTTAGACTAAAACAATACATCTGGAAACACAACCGGTAGGCCTAAGCCTTTGACAGATGAAGAATGTTATTTATACCTAATAGTCTAATCGAGAAAGCTAGCCAAGGGTTTTCTAAACCGTAAGATATATTGAATAAGATCAAAGTTTTCGTCTTACCCAATGTATCTAGAATAGAAATTCCTTGATTATATTATGTCTAAGAATCATTATCCTAGTTAGATTGATAAGACCATATTTTGAGACGATCTGACTCCTTTTAAGATTATTTTGTTCCTCTCTTCCCATATGTGGTAAACAGATGCTGCAATTCTTGGCCTTACAGTGCTGTCACATCTATAACCAACAAGTTCAGTCCAACTTAATGGGGCAATATGATGCCCACATAGTGTTTGAAAAAATCTCCAAATGAGTTGAACAAAAGAGCAATTAAAGAAAATATGTGATGGAGACTCTGCAGTGGAGATACAAAGGCTACAAAGATTTGAGATTCGAAAATAGGTCAGGGAGTACTAGATAGTTGGTAGCCTAGATTCGTATTTTTTCGCTCTAAAGGATCACAAGCATGTGACCCTCAGGCCATCTTTGAGCCAATTTTGACATATTAATTGTCATCAAATGGGGACACTGGATCAGATTGTACACTTACATTTATGGGAATTAAAGATTCACCCAGAAATAGAAACAAAACAGGTGATAAGACTTGGAGGTGGCACGACAACAGCAAGACGGTGCCAATGCTGAAAAATTAATTATGGAGGACCTGTAGGAACCAGTTGATGAACTGCAAGGTGAGGTCTCTGTGATGATTAATATATTATTACGTAGCTAATTGAATCTGTATTAAGCACAATATAAGTTATGAAGTGGTCAATCCACAAGAAATTTTAAAACCTGCGGACCTATTACACTAGATAATGCCCTTTAAGCACAATATAAAGTGTGCATGAATAATAATGCGCACTACTGTTGTTATGGGGTTTGCTATCTAATCAGCAAATAAGCCTCCCACTTGTTGGTACAACGTTGAGAACTTGGATCTTCTCTTGTGCGGTTTCATTCTGTGCCTTTACATTGCTTACTATTGTTTCATGGTGTTGCACTTCGTCATGATGTTGTTGCATTACGATGTAATGTGTTGCACTAATGATACAGGAAACTGACACAGGATCCCCTCCACAGGAAAGGATCCGGATTCCAAGATTAAAGTTCTTGATCTCTTGGACAATATTGCCAAAAGATGCATGTATGCTCAAGCTACAAGAAAGGTTAAAAAATTTGTTTATTTTATTTATGATTTATTCTTTTCATTTTTATTTAAAGATGCCTGCCTTTGGTTCATGGAATTAATTTGATTTTAATGTGTTTGAAAACTGGAAAGAGTCGGGTTATGAAAACTAATGTGCACATATTGAACAAGTTTTAAACCCATGAGCTCATAATCTATAAATATTGTAAGAAAAGGAAAAGGCCATTATGCTATGTCAGTCTCATCTTTCTGTCGAGGACTTGGTGTGGATGAAGTGCTGTAAGGGAAATATCATAGACAAATCTAATTTTTTTGCTCCACTTATTTATTGTTATTATTATTATTTTTCATATTCGAATTTATGTTGTGACTGTTCTAGTTTTTTATTTTTTGGCCAGTGAGTGTAGATGATCATTGATTAGTGCCTTAGTTTTAGAAGTACTTTTGCTTTCATGTTCATCTTTTCTTAGTGACATCCTATCAACTATATTTGTCTTCTTGTAGAGCAAGGAAGCAATTGTCCACCATACAATTAAATTATTAAATTAACACAAGAAAACAACATTAGACAAAATGAATTAATTGCTAATGACATCATCACTACAACAACAATAATTTGCCTTGATCTATTAGGAGCTGATCCTCTTAAGTTTGTCTTACTTCCAATTAATAAATACGTAAAGCAGTAATGAGTGTCACAGTTCAGTTGATTTGGAGTCTGCAGCAATATGGCTGATTTGGGAACCTTAGTAGTCTATCTTTCAAGCTCTTTGTGCTTGTTCCTTTTCTTAACTCTCATCAAGTTCTTTCACAAATATTTGTGGGTGCCAATTCGCATCCAAGGCTTGATGCGGTCACAGGGAATCAACGGTCCTTCTTACAGATTCATCCATGGGAACACCAAAGAGATCTTCAGCATGAGGAAGGAAACAATGAGTAGACCTATGAAGAATTTATCACATCAAATATTTCCTAGAATTCAGCCTCATATTTACTCGTGGGTCAACGCATATGGTAACACGATTTAGTTTTTTTTTTTTTTTTTACTTCCTGAATCCTAAGTGGTTCATTTATACAAATGAACTAATTTAACTAGTTATTTTGTTTTACTTTACTTTTGGATCAGGTAAGCTCTACCTCAGTTGGTATGGTACCAAAGCTCAGTTAATTGTTACTGAGTCAGAATATGTCAAAGATATACTGAACAATAAGCATCGAGCTTACAGGAAAATAGACATCGAAGGCTATTCAAAGAAGCTATTAGGAGATGGTCTTGTATTTTCAGAAGGTGAAAAATGGACAAAATTACGGAAACTGGCCAATCATGCTTTCCATGCAGATCAGTTGAAGGTAAGCTCTGTAGTTATTATTGTTATTGTATTTTGAGTGTACTAATATTAATTTCTAAATAACTTCCGGGAATAAAATATAATAATAAATTCTAGATGAAAAAGCTAAGGGGTAACTACTAATTATATGAATTTTGTTATCTGTATAGAATATGATTCCGGAAATGATTTCAAGTGCGGAGATGATGCTAGAAAGGTGGAAACAGTATGAAGGAAAAGAGGTGGATATGTATGAAGAGTTCAGGGTATTGACATCAGAAGTGATTTCCAGAACAGCTTTTGGGAGCAGTTATTCAGAAGGGAAAGACATATTCGAAATGTTGATAAAGTTGTCTATCATAAATGTTAGAAACACTTTCAAGATTAGGCTTCCTGGTATCAGGTAAAATCAATTTTTTATTTTTTTTTTGGTTGTTGTTGTTCCGGAGAGTTTAAGCAAATGCGCACACACCCACAATATTTTCCCTTAGCAGAGGGCTCGAACAATCAACCTCCCCTTTGTGGAGAGGAGATCATATCATCTGGGCTAATGCCCATTGGATTCAATTTAAGAAAAAAGCAGGGCATGAGGAAACTTTATTATGTTTTATTTTAGCATTACAAAGATACACTAAGAAGGTGGATTCTTCTTAAAAGTCCACACAGGAGTGTCACTTATGAATTATGAATGAATTAATGATCGACTTCAGCTATTATCTTGAGTATCCGAAGAATTCAAGCTCTGAAAAATTCCTCCACAAGAAGCCGTATTGGTTAATTGTCTTTCTCATCCTTAATTTAATTTGTATTTATCCACTTTTGCAGTAAATTCTTAAGAACTGCTGATGATATAGAATCGGATAAACTTGAACAAGGAATACGAGATTCCATTATAAGGATTATAAAGCAAAGAGAGAAGACAATGACTGGAGAAGTAAATAACTTTGGAACTGATTTGCTTGGATTACTAGTGAAGGCTAATCATGATGTTGATCAGAATTATAGAATATCAGTAGAAGACGTGGTTGATGAATGCAAGACCTTTTACTTTGCTGGACATGAAACTACTACGACCTTACTTGCATGGACTGTTCTTCTTCTAGCAATCCATACAGATTGGCAAGAGAAAGCGAGGCAGGAAGTGGTAGAGTTATTCGGCCAAGAACACCCAAATTCAGAAGGCATTGGAAGGCTAAAAACGGTACCCAAATTGTTGCACATCAAATTGAATATTCTTGTGTGCACAACAAAATTAACACTATTTGATTCAGCATTAAATTTTAATATGCCCTTTTTCTCTACGCAGATGAACATGATCATCAATGAATCTCTAAGACTATATCCTCCAGTGTCTCAATTTAGAAGAAAAACTGAACATGAAGTCAAATTGGGGAAGTTCATTATTCCAGCAAATATAGAGCTGCATATGCCAACACTGACACTTCATCATGACCCTCAAGTTTGGGGAGAAGATGCCCTGCTTTTCAAACCAGAGAGATTTTCTGAAGGGGTTGCTAAAGCTACCAACAACAACCAAGCACTGTTTATTCCCTTCGGTTTGGGACCTCGAAATTGTGTAGGAATGAACTTTGCAATCAACGAAACGAAGATTGCTCTGTCAATGATTCTGCAGCGCTACAGCTTCATCCTCTCCCCAACTTATATTCATTCACCAGCTGTAGTTGCGACAATTCGCCCACAACATGGGGTTACTGTAATTCTCCATGCGCTGTAGTATGCACTAGAGCTGTTAGTAGAATGTGAAAGTGAATGAAATAACCAACACTACTGAAGCATTACTATGAGATTGTATTTTGATGTGATATCTTGTATTTTGATGTACTATGAGATTGCAGTTAAGAAATTCTGAGTGGTGTAGAGTGATATTAAAAAATGTTATTATGCTATGTCATGTCAGTCTCATCTTTCTTTAGGTGCCGGTGTGGGTGTGGTGTTGCTAGGGAACGATCAGAGAAAATCGATTTTTATAGTGCTACTTATTTATTTTTCATATAATGGATGTTCTCATATTCGAATTTATGTTGTGACACTTGTCAACTTATATATAAGTTGGTAACTGAACCTTTTGTTTTTTGGGTAGGGGACAGGACCACAGATTGTGGGTACACCAGAAGCAAGTACACATTCATTTCATTTGTGATTAACCAAGACAAGATTGGAGATTAATCTCAACAGGTACTTTGGATTTTCCTGCAATATTTCCTCCACAATTTGCTGCAGGTGATTAATCTCAACAGGTACATTTATATTTACTGTGATTTGGTAAATGATGAACCAGTTTGCTCAAGTGTATCATCATTCATCGACATCCTCATGAATAAGCATAGTTTGCTCAAGTGTATCATCAACATCCTCATGAATACGCATAGTTTGCTCAAGTGTATCATTAGTTAATCTAAATTCAACTACTTTTACATTTTTCTAGTGACATCCTTAACGACTCCAATTTGTCTTCTTGTAGAACAAGGAATCAATTGTATATGCACCATCCTTAACTACTTCAATTTGTCTTCTTGTAGAGCTAATGAAATTATTAGTAACACAAGAATACAACTTTAGACAAAATAAATTAATTACAACAACAATATCTTGCCTTAATCTACTAGAAGCTTTTACCTTTTAGTTTGTCTTACTTCCAACTAAAAGATTCCTATAGCCTTCATCATGGGCAAAGCAAGAAATACTTAAAGCAGTAATGAATGTCACAGTTCAGTTGACTTGGAGTCTACAGCCATATGGCTGATTTGGGAACCTTAGTAATCTTTCTTTCAAGCTCTCTGTGCTTGTTCCTTATATTTACTCTAATCAAGTTCTTTCACAAATTTGTTACTAACTCAGAATTTGTTAAAAAGATACTGAACGACAGAGATGGAGCTTATAAGAAAATGGACATTGAAGGCTATTTGAAGAAGCTACTAGGAGCTGGTGTTCTGGTAGCAGAAGGTGAAAAATGGACAATAGTACGGAAACTGGCCAATCATGCTTTCCATGCAGATCAACTGAAGGTAGGCTCTGTAGTTATTAACTTATTATTGTCCTTGAATCCCTGAAACCAAGACTACTGAGGCATTTCTGTTGATCAATTTTTCCAATGTTTCGAGTATATATTAAGTAATATTAAATTCTAGATGGAAATATTAAGGGGTAAATACTAATTATATGAAGATTGTTATGTGTATAGAATATGATTCTGGAAATGATTTCAAGTACGGAGATGATGCTAGAAAGGTGGAAACAATATGAAGGAAAAGAGGTGGATGTGTATGAAGAGTTCAAGGTATTAACATCAAGTGATTTCCAGAACAGCTTTTGGGAGCAGTTATTTAGAAGGGAAAGACATATTTGAAATGTTGAGGAAGTTGTATATCATAAATGGCAGAAATGCTTTCAAGATTCGGCTTCCTGGCTTCAGGTAATCAAGTTTGGGTTCAGATTAATTTGATTTCTGAATTGGAAAAAAAAACGGGGCATGAGGAAATTTTACATGGGTCCAAATTCTTGTTTTTTTGTTTTTGACTCTCAACTTCAATCTTTACACTTACTATGAGTTTATCCTCATTCCTTATTCTTCATATGTTCAAATTATTAAAGGACCATGGAAGAATTGGGAAATAGAACTAATTCCAAACATTATGCACGCGAAATACGAACTCATATGGTAAGAAAGGGGCAAGAACAGGCTAGACAGTATAGTTAAATACAAGATTGGAAAGGCCTTAACTTCTTGAGACTCCATTATGCTTTATTTTAGCATTAATTTATAGAAAGATAAACTAACAAGATGGTTTTGTCTTCAAAATCCATATAGCAGTGTTACTTATGAATTATGAATGACTAAATGATCTATTTCAGCTCTAGTTAAAAGAATATTAGCTTTAAACAATTCCTCCACAAGAAGCCAGATTCGTTAATTGCCTTTTTTATCCTCATTTTAATTTTTATTCATCCACCTTTGCAGTAAATTCTTAAGAATTGCTGATGATTTAGAGTCAGATAAACTAGAACAAGGAATAAGAGATTCCATTATAAGGATTATAAAGCAAAGAGAGAAGACAACAACTGGAGAAGTAAATAATTTCGGGACTGATTTACTTGGATTACTTGTGAAGGCAAATCATCATGCTGACGAGAACTATAGGATAACAGTAGAAGATGTGGTCGAGAAATGCAATGAGAATGCAGTTGAGAAATTCTGAGTGCTATAAAAATATGAATTTTTTTCTATTAGTACATAAAATTGTTATAGGTTGTGCAGGTGTTTACAATGACTGCAAGTACCATGATGTGGATAAAAGGCACTATGTATATCCTATAATATCAATGAAAGCTATATTCAGTTTCCAATTCAATCTGACCTCTCTTGATGTTTCCAAAAGTTGAGAGCATTTCAGGTCTAGAAGTTATGGGTACCCAATAATTTCTTTGACTAATAAGTTTTCTGCAAGTTATCCTTTTGCTTATCAACTAAATATAAGTATACTTTAGGTAGATTATAAAATATGTGATGTTCACTGTATCAATTATGAGTGTGCATATGGTGAAAAAGTCACCATGCCTCATGACCAATCTAAAGAACAGTTATTATAACGACCCTAAACTGAATACCGAAAATAATAAAAATTTTCAAAAAAAATTTGGCACGATCTCTGCTAAAAATGGTCCTACAACAACCTGTTCAAATGAAAAAAAACAACGGTCTTTCAAGACCTATCCAACCTACCCCAACACACAATACAAAAGAAATATAATGCATTCCCCAATACCACAACATCAACAACCTTCCCAAATTAGAACATCATCGTCATCCCTTTCAACTTAAACATTTACATGGTCTCAGTTTACAAAAAAAATAATCAAGTATCTTAGTTATGTTACAGGGCCATGATTTGCAAAAATAAATACTCTTTTACATAATTTAAGACAATACAAAAAAAATGGGCTAAGATATAAAAGATAACAAAATACAACTCCTAATCTTCTTTAAGCTTGCGGGGAATTGTTATCCGCCACTTCTTTTCCGAGCCCTGAAAAATGTTAAATAATAGGAGTGAGCAAAATTGCTCAGTAGCTAGTGCCTAAGGCACACCTCTTGAGACCCCGTGAATCCACACAATGAATAGGAATAAGGAAATTGGGATCATACCATGCCGGGAGTAAAAGTATAACTACGATACCACATCATTAATCCAACACCACAAATAAATATGCCATGCACTGAAATGTCGTGCCATGCAATGTCACTCCCCCTTTTTCCCAAAACCATTTCCATTATCATTTCCAAACCGTTAGTAAACCCGTCCCATGGCAACTCCATGGCGGCACGAGAGGAGGATTGGCCACTGTCCCTGACCCATGGCAACTCCATGGCGTCATTTGAGACCCAGGTAACTCAACCACACTAGGGCGGTCTCCCTAATCTCCTCTAGGCCTCACTAACGCCGCGGTCCCTAGGCAACTCCTAGGCGGCCGGGTTTTTCACAAAAACCCTTTTCAAAATTCTTTCCCGAAATCCATTTCCTTTCTTTCAAATCAATTTTTCCCATTCTATCCCAATGAATGCATATATGTCTTATGCATTTCAATGATGTACCAATAAAGAAATTTTTATTTCTTACAAGTCAAATATTTACAATATACATGCCTCATAGGAATATTCTAGGAATTCATATCATGCTTCAAAATCATAAAATTCAACATTTTAAAGCACAATAGGCATGAAATTTAACATCAATTTTACATGGTTCTTTATCTCATAACAACTAACATGTATATCTACACATCTCATATACAATACATAACAAATATGAAAAATAACACAATTTAGAACACAAATTAAAGACAAATTATGAAAAATAATTCACCAAAATCTAAGAGATTGTGAATTAAACACCCCTACCTCAATTTTAGCCAAAAGCCCCAATGTTCACCTTAAACCCTCAAAATGGGTCAAGATTTTCGAACTCCCTAGGTTGCTCAAATCTGAAATTGCTGGTACACATGTGTAGAGCTCGTTGTGCTCTCCGTTTTGCCGCAAACGGCACTTAAAAACACTAAGAAATGAGGGAGAAATTAACAATGGAAGCTTGAAGTGAAAAAAAATAAAAAGAAACACGAGAGGAAGATAGAGATGGGAGAGAGAAAGGATGGGAAAAAAGAGACCAAATGTGGTCTCATAATACTTAAACAAGTTATGGGTCCCACCCACTTTTGAATTTTTTTTTTTTCTCTTTTTCTTTTGCTTTTAAATTCACACCACACACAATTACACATATATATGTATATATACATAACACAAACATTACATTTTTCCCAACTTTAAAAGATTTCGTCCCCGAAATTAAGACATACGTGAGGAAAAAAAACAACGCTGGGTACTTAGAGCGAACCTCCTGTTCGAGCTCCCAAGTAGCCTCCTCGACTCCGTGGTGTCTCCAAAGAACTTTCACCATGGGTATCGTCTTGTTCCTCAACACCTTCTGTTGTGTGTCAAGGATCTGAATTGGTCCCTCCTCGTAGGAAACATCCTCATCAATGTCCACATCAACCCAACTCAAAATGTGAGATGGATCCGGCTCGTACTTCCGTAACATCGACACATGGAAAACATTGTGAACTTTGTCCATCTGTGGTGGTAAAGCAAGTCTGTAGGCAACCTATCCTACATGGTCCAAAATCTCAAACGATCCAATGAATCGTAGCGACAACTTGCCACTTTTCCCGAATCTCATCAAACCATGTCCCAACTTTAAAAGATTTCGTCCCCGAAATCAAGACATACCTGAGGAAAAAAACAACGCTAGGTACTTGGAGCGAACCTCCTGTTCGAGCTCCTAAGTAGCCTCCTCGACTCCGTGGTGTCTCCAAAGAACTTTCACCATAGGTATCGTCTTATTCCTCAACCCCTTCTGTTGTGTGTCAAGAATCTGAATTGGTCCCTCCTCGTAGGAAACATCCTCATCAATGTCCACATCAACCCAACTCAAAATGGGAGATGGATCCGGCTCGTACTTCCGTAACATCGACACATGGAAAACGTTATGAACTCTGTCCATCTGTGGTGGTAAAACAAGTCTGTAGGCAACCTCACCTACACGGTCCAAAATCTCAAACGGTCCAATGAATCGTGGCGACAACTTGCCACTCTTCCCGAATCTCATCAAACCCTTCCGTGGAGAAACCCGAAGAAAAACGTGGTCTCCCACCTCAAAGGATAACGGCCGTCTCCGCTTATCCGCATAACTTTTCTGTCGGCTCTGAGCTGTAAGTAACCTCTGTCTGATCAACTTAATCTTCTCAGTAGTCTCGAGTACTATGTCGGGTCCTAAGGCGGCGGTCTCACCCACCTCAGTCTAACAAACAGGAGACCTACAAGGTCTACTATACAACCCCTTAAATAGAGCCATCTGGATACTCGCTTGATAACTGTTGTTGTAAGCAAACTCAATAAGCGGAAGGTAATCTTCCCAACTACCACCCAAGTCAAATACACATACCCGAAACATATCCTCCAAAATCTGGATAGTACGCTCCGACTGGCCATCTGTCTGTGGATGGAATGCCGTACTAAGATGCAACGCTGAACCAAACGCTGCTTGAAGTCCTTCCCAGAACTTCGAAGTGAACTTGACATCCCTATCTGAAACAATAGTTACTGGAACTCCATGCAACCTTACAATCTCCTTCACATAAAGTACACCAAGCTTCTCTACATCATCTGTTACCTTAATAGGCAAAAAGTGAGCCGTCTTGGTCAACCTGTCAATGATGACCCATACGGCTTCATTACCCCTCCGTGACCTTAGAAGACCTGTCACAAAATCCATAGTAATATGTTCCCATTTCCACTGCGCTACAGGCAATGGTTGCAACAAACCAGCTGGTCTTTGATGCTCGGCCTTCACCTGCTGACAGATAAGGCACTTAGCCACAAACTGAGTAACATCTTTCTTCATCCCGTTCCACCAATACTAATGTCTCAAATTGTGATACATCTTGGTACCACCTGGATGAACTGCAAAGCGGGAAGTGTGAAACTCCCGTAAGACGTCCTCACGACAAACTATGGGAACCACCAACAAACCCCTAAACGGTAGACCCCCATCTGCATGCAATGTCCAATCTTTCACCGTCTCACCACCAGAGATCAAGATGTAAAGGGCATCCAAATCTGGATCCTGTCTCTGCGACTCAATCACTCGTCTGACAAGAGTAGGCTGAGCAACAAGACTAAACAAGAATGCCGACTCACAGCAAGCATCATCATTAAAACACTGCAATCCCATTTCTGCCAGATCTTCAAGCATCTTCCATTTTCGGATGGCCAAACTAGCCAAAGTTCCACGAGATTTCCGGCTTAAGGCATCTACTACCACATTTGCCTTGCCCAGATGATACTGCAAGTCAAAGTTGTAGTCCTCCAAGAATTCAACCCATCTTTTCTGTCTGTTGTTTAAGTCTTTTTGGGAGAAAAGGTACTTGAGACTTTTATGATCCGAGTACACCTCGAATCTCTCACCATACAAGTAATGTCTCCAACACTTCAAGGCAAATACAACTGCCGCTAACTCCAAATCATGAGTAGGGTAGTTAAGCTCGTGAGTCTTCAACTGTCGAGACCCATAAGCTACTACTCTATCATCCTGCATCAGCACACATCCCAAACCATCACGTGAAACGTCACAATAAATCACATAACCCAAGCCACGCTCAGGTATCACCAACACTGGAGCTGCAGTCAATCTTGTCTTCAACTCCTGAAAAGATGACTCACAGGCTTCAGTCCAAACAAACTTGATCCCTTTCCGGGTCAAACGGGTCATAGACACTGCCAAACGGAAGAAATCCTTCACAAATCTCCGATAGTAACCCGTTAGGCTAAGGAAACTCCGAATCTCAAAAACATTCTTGGGTTGCTCCCAATTCAAAACTGCTTTAACCTTTGATGGATCTACTGATACTCCACCTTCTGAAACAACATGCCCCAAAAATTTCACCTCCTGTAGCCAAAACTCACATTTCTCATATTTGGCATACAATCGGTGCTTCCGTAAAATCTGTAAAACAATACTTAAATGGACCTCGTGCTCCTCCCGAGATAATGAATACACGAGAATGTCATCCACGAAAACTACCACAAACTGATCCAAGTAATCGTGAAAGACGCGGTTCATTAAGTCCATGAACGCCGCTAGCACATTAGTCAAGCCAAAAGGCATAACAAGGAACTCATAGTGTCCATACCGTGTACGGAACGCTGTCTTTAGGATATCCTCATCCCTAACACGTAACTGATAGTAACCTGACCTCAAGTCAATCTTCGAAAAACAACTGGCTCCTCTTAACTGATCAAACAAATCATCTATCCTTGGCAAAGGATACTTATTCTTGATGGTAGCACGATTCAACTTCCGGTAATCAATGCACAACCTCAAAGAACCATCTTTTTTCTTAGCAAACAAGACCGGTGCGCCCCACGGTGACACACTCGGTCGGATGAAACCTTTCATCCTCAAATTATCAAGCTGCCTCTTTAATTCTTCCACTTCAACTGGTGCCATAGAAATTAGCTTGGTACCTGGCATCAAATCAATAGAGAACTCCACTTCTTGGTGTGGAGGCAACTCTGTCAAATCCTTCGGAAACACATCCAGAAAATCACGAACAATCGCAGGATAATCCTCTTTCACAACATCATCTTCTTCGGCTAGGAGGCTAGCCAAGAAGTAATCACCACGACTCTGTCCATAAACTCCATAAAACGATGAAATGTGGAAATCACTCCGATCTCCCACGAAAAATAAACAGTCTCCCTCGGGAGTGCAAACTATAACCCTTCCTTTGTAACAGTCGATCGTAGCATGAAATAAAACTAACCAATCCATTCCGAGAATGACATCAAAGCTAGTCATCTCCAGGAGAATAAGATCAAACACAAAAGTCCGCCCAGCTATCACAATGGAACAATCCCGCATAACTCGGCTCATTGACACTAAAACCCCAACTGGCGTATCAACACACAACGCCCGATCCATGAAACTAACCTTTAACCCCGATGCAAGTGTAAATGATGATGAAATGAAAGAATGAGATGCACCAGAATCAAACAAAACACGGGCCCAAGAACCAAACACTGGAAATATACCTCGGAGAACTGACGATCTAGGAGATGCATCAGTCGGTGCAAGTGCAAAGACACGTCCCTACGATGTCTGTGCCTGTGAACTACTAATCTGAACACCTGACTGCTGAACTGACATAGTAGGAGTATCCCTCCTAACTGGCCGTGAACCCTGAGAGGACATGGTAGGCTGTAATGGTGGTGGTCTGAAACCTGACTGAACCGTAGCCGACTGTGACGACCTCTACTGTGACCCTCTGCCACTACCGGTGCCTACTCCCTAATTACGACAATTCTTAACCTTATGGCCCTGTTGGCCACAACCAAAACAAGCCCCAGAATTAACCAATGTCTGTGGACACTCTGACTTGTAGTGACCCGGCTGATTACAACGATAACAAATGACACCACTCCTGGCAGACCCTGCTGGCATAGGAGTGGTAGGAGCGGATCGTGCTGACTGTTGCCCCTGAAACTGAAATGAACCACCCCTGTTCCTTTTCCCTGAAGGTCCCTCTGCAGATGGTCCTACATTCCTCTTTTGTCTCCATTGTTCCCTTCTTGCATCTTTATCTTTGGCCTCCGCCTCTAGCATCAATGCTCTTTCCACTGCCTCAGAATAAACCTTGATGCCTTGTGCTATTAACAACGGCCTCATTTTGTAGTCAAGTCCGGAGATAAACTTCCGAACCTTATCAACTTCATTACTCACCATCTCTAGAGCAAAGCGGAAAAGAGACGTGAACTTGTTCTCGTATTCTGTCACTGACATATTGCTTTGGATAAGGCTAATAAACTGATTCTTTAACTCCCACTTATTGGAGGCAGGGAAGTACTTCTCATAGAACAGCTCCTTGAATCTATCCCAATTCATCTCTTCAATCTTATATTGATTTGTGATCGATTTCCACCAAAACTTGGCATCCTTTGTGAACTTGTAAGTGGCTAGGATGATTTTCAAGTGATCCTCCGTTACATCAATAGAAGTCAATTGAGTTTCAACTTGCTCCATATAGTCATCCGCTACCATGGGATCTACACCACCTTCAAACATTACCGGCATCAACTGAGAAAACCCTTTAATAATCTTGAGACGCTTCTGTGCTGGCGTCTCCTCCACTTGCACTACCGGTTATGGTATCGGCTGCGGCTGAGTAGCAATGGTGGCCCTCAAGGCCCTTTGCAACAAACGATTCAATAACGATAACACTAAGGTCTAACTGTGAACAACTCAACACAAAAGGACACTATACTAACACGTAGCATGCAAGACTATGCAATGAACACATTAATATAAGCATATAAGCACATAAGCACTTAAACAAATAAACAGTTAAGCATGCCTCTTCTTTTTTTTTTTTTCCTTTTTCTTTTTTCTTTTTTTTTTTTTTCTTTTTTTTTTTAGCAAAACACTTTTGTAAATAAGGAAATAAAAATGCCAATGACTTCCCAGACAACCCTAGGTAGGCCTCTACCCGTCGTCCTAATGGTTTTCGAACCTTCGCTCTGATACCAAATTTGTAACGACCCTAAACTAAATACCGAAAATAATAAAAAATTTTAAAAAAAATTCGGCATGACCTCCGCTAAAAATGGTCCTATAACAACCTGTTCAAATGAAAAAAACAATGGCCTTTCAAGACCTATCCAACCTACCCCAACACACAATACAAAAGAAATATAATGCATTCCCCAATACCACAACATCAACAACCTTCATAAATTAGCCCATCATCGTCATCCTCTTCAACTTAAGCATTTACATGGTCTTAGTTTACAACAAAAATAATCAAGTATCTTAGTTATGTTACAGGACCATGATTTGCAAAAATAAATACTCTTTTACATAGTTTGAGACAATACCAAAAAAATGGGCTAAGATACAAAAGATAACAAAATACAACTCCTAATCTTCTTCAAGCTTGCGGGGGATTGTCATCCGCCACTTCTTTTCCGAGCCCTGAAAAATGTTAAATAATAGGGGTGAGCAAAATTGCTCAGTAGGTAGTGCCTAAGGCACACCTCTTGAGACCCCGTGAATCCACACAATGAATAGGAATAAGGAAATTGGGATCATACCATGCTGGGAGTAAAAGTATAACTACGATACCACATCATTAATTCAACACCACAAATAAATATGCCATGCACTAAAATGTCGTGCCATGCAATGTCACTCCCCCTTTTTCCCAAAACCATTTCCATTATCATTTCTAAACCGTTAGTGAACCTGTCCCATGGCAACTCCATAGCAGCACGAGAGGAGGATTGGCCACTATCCTTGACCCACAGCAACTCCATGGCGTCATTTGAGGCCCAAGTAACTCGACCACACTAGGACGGTCTCCCTAGTCCCCTCTAGGTCTCACTAACGCCGCGGTCCCTAGGCAACTCCTAGGCAGCCGGGTTTTCACAAAAACCCTTTTCAAAATTCTTTCCCAAAATCCATTTCCTTTCTTTCAAATCAATTTTTCCCATTCTATCCCAATGAATGCATATATGTCTTATGCATTTCAATGACGTACCAATAAAGAAATTTTTATTTCTTACAAGTCAAATATTTACAATATACATGCCTCATAGGAATATTCTAGGAATTCATATCATGCTTCAAAATCATAAAATTCAACATTTTAAAGCACAATAGGCATGAAATTTAACATCAATTTTACATGGTTCTTTATCACATAACAACTAACATGTATATATACACATCTCATATACAAGACATAACAAATATGAAAAATAACACAATTTAGAACCCAAATTAAAGACATTATGAAAAATAATTCACCAAAATCTAAAAGATTGTGGATTAAACACCCCTACCTCAATTTTAGCCAAAAGCCCCAATTTTCACCTCAAACCCTCAAAATGGGTCAAGATTTTCGGACTCCCTAGGTTGCTCAAATCTGAAATTGCTGGTACACACGTGTAGAGCTCGCTGTGCTCTCCGTTTTGACGCAAACGGCACTTAAAAACACTAAGAAATGAGGGAGAAATCAACAATGGAAGCTTGAAGTGAAAAAAAAAAAGAAAAAGAAACCCGAGAGGAAGACAGAGACGGGAGAGAGAAAGGATGGGAAAACAGAGACCAAATGTGATCTCATAATACTTAAACAAGTTATGGGTCCCACCCACTTTTGAATTTTTTTTTTTCTCTTTTTCTTTTGCCTTTAAATTCACACCACACACACACACACACACAATTACATATATATATATATATACACATAACACAAACATTACAATTATTCCCTACAGTCAGAAGATAGTTCACTGTCACGCCCATAAGTAGAAGTGGGCTATTATTGAGGGTAAATTACTGACCTTCAGGTTTGGACAAATAACACACTGGTAGACCATTCAACATTTATTACTTTGACATCTTCTAAACTCATTCACCGGTGGGTGGCGGCCAAAAAATGACTTTGAGTATGAAACGTCAATTTTGCCCTTATATTATAATAATATATTGTATTGCATTTTATGCAAGGGAAGGGCAAATTTGTCATTTTATAAAATTTGGTCTAAAAACGCTACGGTTGTCATTGAGCACACCCCAATTCTCAAGGGAGGTCAAAGTAATAAATATTGAATGGTTCATCCGTGTATAATTTGTCCAAACCTCAGGGGAGGTCAGTGTAATCTAACCATATTATAAAAGTAGAATAGAAGCCATAATTCCCATGAAAGGGAGAATATAAAGGAGCTTTTGTGTTTCTACCAGCAAGGTGTCATATTAGAAAATAAATTAAATGAGTGCTGCAAATATCAAAATTTCCAGATTCAGATGATATTTGTTTAATTTTTCTAGTTCCAAAAAACAATCAAATTCCTTCTCTCTTAAAATGTTTGATCCAGTACATCACTTGTCTACTAAGACAGAAGAAATTAAAAGATCAATCTCTCAACGTTAATGTCAGGGGCTAATCGCTGTCTAAAACAATACATACACCTCTAGTAACAATGTCCCAATAGAGAACTAATTATGTACCTAACTAATTTTCTTTTTCAAAAAATACTCTCAACTCATTCGTGCACATAGAAGTGTGTCACTCTGAATCAGATTGTACACTTGCGTTTATGGGGAATTAGAGATTGATCCTGAAATAGAAACAAACATTAAGTGTTTGCTGGCTGATAGGGGAAGTGAACATTCCCCAGTTGCAAGACAGCGCCAATGCTGAAAAATTAGACATGGAGGACTTGCAGGAACTAGTAGATGAACTGTGATGATTAATGTATTACTACCAAATTGAATGTATCAAGCACAATATAATTAATGAAGCGGTCAATGCAAAAACAATTGTAATTTATTTTTTATTTTTTTGGGGGAGGTGAAGTCATAATATATATATGAAAGAGCGTCCAAACAGCTCCAGAATAGGGGATCAACCAGAGGCTTGTGGCCAAAACAGTTGAAAACTACAACAAACAATAACCAGCAGCTAGCAAAGACAGAAACACTGAGCAAAGGGATTGAACCATTCTGAGAGATCTGGAGGCTTCCTTGGTAGTCTAATGGTGAAGCTCGGAAGACGCCACGTTGCTGCAAGTTGTCTAGCTGCTCTGTTATCTTTGAAGGAACGAGTATGAAATCTAAGCTTGATTGTATCTGTAATGCAACTGATTATGTTCCAAGTGGTGGAAGATTTACCCTTGAAGATCCTATTGTTTCTTTCAGTCCAGATAAAGCCGACACAGGCTGCCAATATTAGTCTGTTGTAGAGGTGAGAAATGGAATGAATCCAGGCATCGGAGGCTCAAGTGAGAAGGTATTGGCAGCTCAAAGGGTTGAAATTAAAGTTGCATACCCTTAGAAAGTGGTTCCAAAAGGTTGTCTGTCAAATGAACCATGGAAGATCGGTCAAAGAAGTAACAACCCAACATGCTGCTGCAAAAATGTCAAAGAAGTATAACCCAACATGCTGCATAGATGCCCTGTAAGCACAATATAAAAGTATTATTAATTATACATGGGGTTTGATATCTAATCAACAAATAAGCCTATAAGTTTCAAATCCACTAGCCCTATAATCTATAAATATTGTACATAAAGAGGAAAAAAAAATTCATTATGCTATGTCTAGTCAGTCTCATCTTTCTTTGTCTTCTTGTAGAACAAGGAAGCAATTGTATGTGCACCATACAATTAAAGTTGAATCAAGTGGAACTAATGAAATTAATTATTAACACAAGTATACAACGTTATACAAAATAAACTAATTACAAATGTCATTATCAATACAACAACAATATTTTGCCTTACTCTATTAGAAGCAGATTCTTTATAGTTTGTCTTACTTCCAATTGAAAGATTCCTATGGTCTTCATCATGGACCAAGCAAGAAATACTTAAAGCAGTAATGAAAGTCACAGTTCAGTTCTTGATTTGGAGTATACAGCAATATGGCTGATTTGGGAACCTTAGTAGTCTTTCTTTCAAACTCTCTGTGCTTGCTTCTCTTCTTAACTCTCATCAAGTTCCTTCACAAATATTTGTGGGTGCCAATTCGTATCCAACAAACGATGCGGTCACAGGGAATCAATGGTCCTTCTTTCAAACTCATCCATGGGAACACCAAGGAGATCTTCAGCATGACGAAGGAAACAATGAGTAGACCTATGAATTTATCACATCACATATTTCCTAGAATTCATCCTCACGTATACTCTTGGGTCAACACCTATGGTAATTAACAATATTTAGTTTTATAACGATGGGATTAATCCTAAGTAGTTCATCCATACAAATGAACTAATTTAACTAGTTATTTTGTTTTATTTTACTTTGGGATCTGCAGGTAAGCTCTATCTCAGTTGGTATGGTACCGAAGCTCAGTTATTTGTTACTGACTCAGAATTTGTTAAAGATATACTGAACAATAGAGATAGAGCTTATGGGAAACTGGACATTGAAGGCTATTTGAAGAAGCTATTAGGAAATGGTATCGTAGTGGCAGAAGGTGAAAAATGGACAAGGTTACGGAAACTGGCCAATCATGCTTTCCATGCAGATCGGCTCAAGGTAAGCTCTGTGGTTATTATTGTTATTGTTGTTGTTAAGTCATTGGAATCAATACTACTGAAGCATTGTAACTACTAATCATCACATTTTTCAAATGTTTTGAGTATATATTGTGATATTAAATTCTAGATCGAGTGTTAAGGGGTAGCTACTAATTATATGAAGATTGTTATGTGTACAGAATATGATTCCGGAAATGATTGCAAGTACGGAGATGATGCTAGACAGTTGGAAACAGTATGAAGGAAGAGAGGTGGATGTGTATGAAGAGTTCAGGGTACTAACATCAGATGTGATTTCTAGAACAGCCTTTGGGAGCAGGAAAGACATATTTGAAAAGTTGATGAAGTTGTATATCTTAAAAGCTAGAAATGCCTTCAAGATCAGGCTTCCTGGCTTCACGTAAGTTCATCCTTGGGTTAAATCAAGTTTGGGTCCAAATTCATTTTGGTTTTGACTAACTAATCTCAACTTCAATCATGTCTACAACTGATATTGACCAAATGTTTTCCTTCAACTTTAAAAACTCTGCTAATGTAAACTGGAATCACTAAAATTTCACCCTTGGCTTTGACAATCTTTAAGCGACATAGAAAACAAAAATTTCTTGATTGAGGGGGCTGAAACGAGGAACTGATTCCGGGGATATGAACTTTCAATTAAACCAATTCATGCCATGACACAGCAGTATCCCTTAGGCACTTGTATTTTATTCGAACTAGACTATGCTTATTAAAGGACCTTGGAATAACTGGGAAATGGAACTAAACCCAAACATTACGCGTACAAAATACGAACTCATATGGCAAGAAAGGGGCAAGAACACACTTGACAGTATAGTCAAATACAACATTGGAAAGGCCTCAATTTCTTGGCTTAATTCTTGCCATTTTATTGGAGCAGAAGTAAAGGTCACTTCATTATGCTTTATTTTAGAATTAAGTTTTAGAAAGATACACTAACGAGATGGGTTTGTCTTCAAAATCCACATGGCAGTGTCACTTATGAATAATGAATGACTAAATGATCTATTTCAGCTCTAGTCTTGATTATCAAAAGAACTCAATCTTTGAACAATTTCTCTGCAAGAAGCCAGATTGGTTAATATATTGTCTTTTGTCATCGTCATTGTAATTTTTATTCATCCACCTTTGCAGTAAATTCTTAAGAAATGCTGATGAGCTAGAATCAGATAAACTTGAACATGGAATACAAGATTCCATTATAAGGATTATATAGCAAAGACAAAAGACAATGACTGGAGAAGAAAATAACTTTGGAAGTGATTTGTGAAGGCTAATCATGAAGTAGATCAGAACTATAGGATAACAGTAGAAGATGTAGTTGACGAATGCAAGTCCTTTTACATTGCTGGACACGAAACTGAGACAGGAGGTGCTTGAGTTATTTGGCCAAGAACACCCAAATTCAGAAGGCATTGGAAGGCTAAAAACGGTACCCAAAATGTTGCAAATTAAATTCAGCATTCTTTTTGCATTACAAAATTAACATTATTTGATTCACCCTTTAATTTTAATGTCCTTTTTCTCTATGCAGATGAACATGATCATCAATGAATCTTTAAGACTATATCCTCCAGTGTCTCTATTTATGAGAAAAACTAAACATGAAGTCAAATTGGGGAAATTCATCATTCCAGCAAATATAAACCTGTATATTCCAATACTGGCAGTTCATCATCAACCTCAACTATGGGGAGAAGATATGCTGCATTTCAAACCTGAGAGATTTTCTGAAGGGGTTGCTAAAGCTACCAACAACAACCAGGCAGTGTTTCTTCCCTTCGGTTTGGGACCTCTAAGTTGTGTAGGAATGAACTTTGCAATCAACGAAACGAAAATTGCTCTGTCAATGATTCTGCAGCACTACAGCTTCACCCTCTCCCCAACTTATATTCACTCACCAGTTTGTAGTTATGACAGTTTGCCCACAACATGGGGTTCAGATAGTACTCCATGCTCTTTAGTCTGCCACTAGAGTTATTAGTAGAATGTGAAGTGAATGTGATTTCAGTTAAGAAATTTTGAGCTGTGTAGAAATAAGAAAAAAAATGGCCATTAGTACATAAAATTGCTCCAGGGTGTGCAGGTCTTTACAGGACTGCAAGAACCATCATGTGGATAAAAGGCAGTATATATCCTATAATATCAATTCGATCTGATCTTTCTTGATGTCTTCAAGGGTTAGAGCAATTTCAGGTCTAGAAATTATGCTCTTACACTAGCATAATGTATCCAATAATTTCTTGGACTAATAAGTTTACTGGACTTTGTTAGAAACAGTCAAGGGAGAGTCCTAGGTCACATATGCAACTACCATGCAAGTTATCATTTTGTTTACCAACTAAATAAAGGTGATTTTGTGTTTGTACCACCAGGGTGTCATATTAAAAAATAAATTTAATACTATTGCAAATATCAAAATTTTCCAGATTCTGATGGGATTTTATTTTATTTTATTTTATTTTTCTAATTCCAAACGACAATCAAAATTTCTTTCACTCTTAAATATTGATCAACCACACCACTGGTCTATAAAGACAGGTGATATTAGCCGATCAGAATCTCAACCTTAATGTCAAGGGCCAAGTGTTATTGTTGTCTAAAACAAGGTTGCTTCAATATAGAACACCTTTAGTCACAACATCCCAACAGTTCTGTACCTACACCTTTAATCAGTGCATCGTCTACTGACCTTTAAACACCTTTAATCAGTGCATCGTCTACTGACCTTTTAACTAGCTAATTATAATTTTTTGTTTTCCCTGAAAAGTACGCTGCAACTCTTTTAAGATTGAGTTCTAAATATTTTCCAACCGTCATTGATGTACATAGAAGTGTGTGATCAAACTGCATAGCACGCAACACACACCCATGCTCATGCCAAACTAATTGACATCTCTCCAAGGATCACGAGCAGACCTCAGCCATGTCTGCTAATTGTGATAAAATAGGAACACTGAATGTTTCAAAGGCAGAGATAGAAAAGGAGTTGTAGGCTGAATTATGGAATTAAGGAAGAGATAGAAAATAAGTTAAACACGAAGTCAAATTGAAGAAGTTCTTACTTCCAGGCAATATAAACCTGCATATTCCAACGCTGACACTTCATGATGACCCCTAAATATGGAGAGAAAATGTGCATCATATCAAACCAGAGAGATTTCAAAAAGGGTTGCTAAAGCCACCAACAACCACCTCATGAACCATTTACAAGAAAATTGGCTATTGTACTGTAGATTTATCTTTACTGTGATTTGGTAATTGGTGAACCATTTACAAGAGTCCTACCAAGCACTACAGGGAGTTTGATAGACCAAAGGTTGCATAATTCGCTCAAGTGTAACGTTAACATCCTCATGATAAATAAGCTAAATATTATATATGTACGAGTTAATATAAATTTACTACTTTTACAATTTCCTTAATGACATCCTTAACAACTACAATTGTCTTCTTGTAGAACAAGGAAGCAATTGTACACCATGGAGTAAAAGTTAAATCAAGTGGAGCTAATGAAATTATTAATTAACACATGCAAGAATACAACTTTAAACAAAATGAATTAAGTTCTAGTGGCATTATCAATGCGACAACAATAATTTGCCTTAATCTATTAGAAGCTGACCCATAAAGTTAACATCACAGAACAAGAAAATGTTTTCTTTTGTTTGTCTTACTTCCAATTCAAAGATTCCTACGATCATCATCACAGACAAAGCAAGAAATACTTAGAGTAGTAATGAAAGTCACAGTTCAGTACTTGATTTGGAGTCCAAAGCAATATGGGTGCTTTGGAAACCATAATAATCTTTCTTTCAAGCCCTCTTTGCTTGTTCCTTTTCTCAACTTTCATCAAGTTCCTTCACAAATTTTTGTGGGTGCCAATTCGC